TTTTTAAAAAAATGTGATAGTGATAGTACTATGATTGTGATTATATAAAAGTATTTTTAATATTAAAAAAAATGCCCGTATAAAATTGTGATTATATAGAGTTTGTGATTATATAGGAGGTGATTGTATGGGAGGATGACTGTATAATGTTGGTAGAATTAAATCGTAACTTTGTTAAACAAAACATTGTGTAGAATTAACTCTGGATGGCATAATTTTGGTAGAATTGATTCATAACTCTGGTAAACATAATTTTAGTAAAATATCAGATACAATTAATTTGTAACCTGGTAAACATAATATAGATAGAATTAATTAGTAATTCTGGTAACTGTAAATTTGGTAGAATTTAATTAACTTTTAATGTTTAACTCGTAAATATAATTTTTGTAGAGTTAACTCAAAACTCTGGTAAACATAACTCTGGTAAACATAACTGGTAAACATAACTTTGGTAAACATAACTCTGGTAAACATAACTCTGGTAAACATAACATAACTCTGGTAAACATAACTGGTAAACATAACATGAGTAAACATAACTCTGGTAAACATAACTTTGTTAAAGAAAACATATTGTGTAGAATTAATTCATAACTCTAGAAGGCATAATTTTAGTAGAATTGATTCGTAACTCTGGTAAACATAATTTTGGTAAATATCAGTTAGTAATTCTGGTAATCGTAAATTTGGTAGAATTAATTTGTAACTCTGGAAGGCATAATTTTGGTAGAATTGATTCATAACTTTGGTAAACATAATTTTGGTAAATATCAGATATAATTAATTTGTAATTCTGTAATTAACTGTGTATAAAATTATCGAGATGCTTAATTTTGATTCAATAATTTTAATATTTCTGTTATCTTTAAGGAATTGATACCATATGATAGATCAATTGAATTCAATTTATTTAAGAGTCTTTTTATTTCAGAATCTGCCAAATTCTTCTTTTTTCTGGTTTATTCTTAAACCTTGAATATTCTGAGTTGTTCTGTTACCAATATAAATTTATACTTGATAATTTCATATATTTACTTTATAAACCTGAGTTTTAGTTAAACTGGTTAAATTTATTATACGAACTAACTAGTTAAATCAGCTAGTCACATATAAATTGTATTGTAAAATTAAAGTGGTCAGACTACTTTTAAAATGAAAATGATTTTGAATTATTATTGTATGCTGTGGCTTAATTAAAAATACGAGTAATGAATATAATTTAAGATTTATACAGAGGATTGAAAATTTTAATTCTGCATGTGATTAAGTTATACGTAATAAAAAAAATTTGATTCATAAAGAAAGTTTTTTAAAAAAATGGTTTCAGAATATTACGAAGATTTTAAAATTCAAGAGACTTCCATCATTCAAAATTATGAAATAATTGCACCCTTTTATTTAACAATTCCTATCGATGATACTCTTGTCGAATTTTACTCATATTTGTATGATAGTGAATTTTCTATGAAAGCGGAGTATGCAAAGATTATTAGTTATTCGAAAAATAGATTTGTGAAGTTTCAAAATGTTACTTTTTTCGACCGTTACGAGAAAACTATTGAAGCCGATAAAATAGAATATATAATGTATTATCTGGATGGATTTTTTTATTGGAATTACATTGAAAAGGGGTTTATTGTGAATCTGCAACATATATTAGATATTTTATTTTAACAAATACTTATATGTTTGTTGATTCTAAAAGTACGTATTCTCTTGAGAGTTTAATGGTTTTTTAATTACTAATTAGTTTTGACATTAAATTTATTATTAATTAGTTGGTTATAGTAATTGAGAATTAGGTCGTGTTTGTTAGTTTTATTTTTTTTTTTTATCTTTCAATATATATTGTAAATAATTTTTTTATTATAAAAATTTTTTATATTGCTAATAAAATTTTTTTTTTTTACATTTTAGGTTGTTTACAAAATGCCTAACTCATGATTTGTCATGTTTCAAATTTGTCAATGCCTTATCCCAAATATAATAAAATTGTCCCAAATTCTAATCCCAAATTTCAATCCAAAACATAATCCCAAATCCCAATATTTTTGTCAAAAAGTATACTCATTGGTGAGTTAAACACGTAAGAATTAAACTTTGCTTTAACATCAAAAAGTTTCAAATTGTATTGTGTTAAAATTAATTAGTAACTCTAGTAAAATATAATTTTGGTAGAATTGATTTGTAATGCTATAACTTTTTTAGATCTTTTAAAAAATAACCTCTATCATTTTTGGAGTTAAAACAATAGCTGATGCTCTTTGCAAAAACACTATATTAAAAACTTTAAACCTTAACTATAATCATCTTGGTCATGTAAGTGGAGTAGCACTAGCAGATACTATTAACAAAAATAGTATATTAATCTCGCTAGATATTTCAGATAATTGCATTGGTGCTTTAGGAGGAAAAGCAATAGCAGATGCTCTTTGCAAAAATAAAAGTTAAATTTATTTGAATATTTCATCTAATTACATTGGGCATGTGGGTGGAGTAGCACTAGCAGATACTCTTAACAAAAACAGTACTTTAACCTCGCTAGATATTTCAAACAATAGCATTGGTGCTTTAGGAGGAAAAGCAATAGCAGAAGCTCTTTGCAAAATAAAAGTTTAATTATTTAAATATTTCATCTAATCAACTTGGGTGTGAGGGTAAAGAAGTATTAGAAAATGCTTTTCACACAAATAAGACTTTTT